GCCACTGTTAAATGCGAGAGGATCTACCGACGAGGAGAATCGCGAGGATAATCCGTTTTTTCTCCATGGATCTGATAACCCAGGGATGCAGCTGGTTTCGCATCCATTGACTGGAACAAACTTTCTCGCGTGGAAGAGATCAATGATGATAGCGCTTGGTGCGAAGACGAAAATCGGCTTTATTGATGGTTCAATTCAGAAACCTAATGTTGGAGACCCAAACCTGCGAAAATGGAAGAAGGTAGATTGCACGGTAATCTCTTGGATCCTAAACTCTATGTCGAAAGATATTGTAGATGCGTTCATTTATGTTGAATCCGCTAAAGAGCTGTGGGAAGAAATATGTCAAAGGTTTGGGGAAAGTAATGGCCCCAAAGAGACATATCGAATCTGAAACAAGGCAATGATTCAGTGATGATGTATTTCAATAAAATGAAAAGAATGTGGGATGAATACAATTGTTTGGTGCCGCATTTGATCTGCAACTGTGAGATTGGGAGGAAAATTGATGAACAGCATATGCAAAATAAGCTCATGCAATTTTTAATGGGACTCAATGAAGGATATGATCATGTTAAGAATCAAATACTGATAATGGACCCTTTGCCTTCGATTAACAAAGCATACTCAATGATATTGTCTGCTGAAAGACAAAGATCAGTGCAACTTGGTTCACAAGAGTACAATTCAGGAATGGCTATGGCTTTCAAGTCGGGTACTTTTGGGAGAGGGACAAGTACAAAGGTGTTTGCTGGAAATTTTAACCAAGGTAAAGGCAGAGGGGGACAAAGGATGTCAAAGGAAGAGAAAGCCAAGTTGATTTGTGAACACTGTGGATGGAAAGGGCATGAGAAGTCCACTTGCTTCAAACTCCATGGGTATCCTGACTGGTTCAAGGATTTAAAGGATGTTAAAGGGAAAAATATGGTGAATATGGCAGAAACTAGAGATAGACATCAGAATGGAGGTCATGGACTCACAGACATTTCACTAATTGCACAGGAAGTAGCTAAATTGCTTGGGAAGCAAAACAAGGACAACTTGAATGGTCAGGTGGGAAGTGAGCAGGAACAGTTTGTAAATTTTGCAGACAATGAAGATGGAATGGAGTTACATTATGCACTGTCCTTATATGATGATATTGATAAACAGGATTGGGTGATTGACACAGGTGCAAGCAAGCACATGTGTAATGATAGAAAATTGATGAGGAATGTGGTGACTTTGGAACATCCAATTACAATATACTTGCCTGATGGAAGTGTTAAACAGGTTTCACTGATGGGAGAAGTGAGATTATCACACAATATAATTCTGCATGGTGTACTACTAGTTCCAAGCTTCAAATATAACCTCATGTCAGTTGCACAGGTATGCAGCTCTTGTGGGTTAAGGTGTATGTTCACAACAGATCAGTGTGTGTTTGAGAATGTGGAAACAGGGAATGCAGTTGGATATGGGAAGCTTCATGGAAAACTGTATGTCTATGAAAGGCAGCTCACACCACAATTTAGTTTGAGTTGTGCCAGCTCATTGGAAGAGTGGCACAGAACATTGGGGCATGCATCTATTGGAGTTCTACAACACATGAGTTTTCTTAAAGATCATTGCAATGAATCAGATGTTCATAAGCTTAAGGGCTGTGAGGTATGCTTCAAATCCAAACAGCACATGCTACCTTTTCCTTCAAGTAGAATTCAATCAACAGATATTTTTGAAATGCTGCACATGGATATATGGGGTCCATGCCGTGAGAAGACCATGACCAACACACCATATTTCTTGACAATAGTTGATGATTATAGTCGAAGTGTGTGGATATTTCTCATGAAAAATAAATGAGAAACAGTGGGACACATAGAGAAATTTCTCACAATGGTTGATACACAGTTTGAA